ATTAGGGTGGGGACATCTTTGAGGGGCCATTATTCTGTCCATTACAGAGACTACCTGAATCTAGGGGTGGCCGGTAAAGAACTCCCTGAGAAGGATGATAGGGTACAGCCAGGTGAAGAAGCAGGGGAAGAGCATTCAGGTGATGGATGGGAGGGAACTTGAGGTACTCGAGGACCAGAGCAAAGGCCATCCTAGCAGGCCAAGTGTATGAGAGAATGGGTGGCAGGAGGTGACATTGGAGACAGCAGTAGAAGTCACTGGAGCATTTTAAAGCAGATTTGTATTTAGAAAGAGCAGTTGTGCTGCCATGTTGATGGTGGGGTTAGAGGTGAGCAAGGTGGGTGTTGGAGGCCATTTAGGAGGCTGTTGTAATTCAGATGAGAGATGCTGGTGGCCTGGTCCCACTGGTGGCAGGAGGTTCAAGAGAAGCAAAGGGATTTGAGAGATTTAAGGAGAGTGAATCAGTCAGTAGTGTGCTGTGGTGGATGGCCGTCGAGTGTGGAGAAGGACGTTAGGCATGGCCCTCAGGTTTCTAGCAGGAGCCAGGTGGAAGGTGGCATCGTCATGGACAAGTGGGGAAACACCAGGAAGAGACTGGATTTGAGGGGAAGGAGAAGTGAAAGCTCTAGTTTCGGGGTAGAGTGATTTTGAGGGCCTGTGAGACAAGCAAGTGGAACTGTGTCTTCACCCCGCCTGAATGGGCTCATAAGTGAGCTTTCTGGGATGAAGGGGAAGCGTTGGAAATGGTTGGCACATAGCTGCTGATTGAAGCCTGGTTGTTGCCTGGACCCTACAGAAAGAGGCATGGAAGGAGGGAAGAGGGCCTTAGACAGCACCTGGAGAAAGCCAACAGCTAAGTGTGTCTTCCTGAGTTGACCATGTGTGGAGCTCATCAGGGGTAGAATCCAGAAGGGAATATTTTCAGGAGAGATGGGGAGGTGAGGAAATAGAGACAGGTCTTAGCGAGTATTATGGAAAACTTCAGACGTATTGTATTAGTCTATTGCTGCTGTAACAAGTTACCGTGAACTTAGCAGCTTAGACAGCACAAGTATATTACCTTATAGCCTGGAGGTCACAAGTCTGAACTAGCCCCCCCCAGGCTAAAATGAAGGCAGTGTGCGGCTGTGTTCTTCCTGGAGGCTCTAGCGGAAACTGTTTTTTTTTTCTTGCCTTTTAAGCTTCTAGAGACTGCCTGGTTCCTTGGCTCCTGGCCCCTTCCTCTGCCTACAGAGTCAGCGAAGGCAAGTTGAGTCCTTCACACATCATAGCGGTCTGGTCTGTTGTTCTGATCTGTCTCCCACTTCTAAAGATGCTTGTGATTACGTTGGGCCCAACTGGATAATCCAGGGCAGTCCCCCTATTTTAAGGTCAAATTAAGTCCTGATTAGCAAATTAAGCCCTTCTACAATCTAAATTTACCTTTGCCATGTAGGGTGACGTCATCACAAGTTCTGGGAATGAAGACCTGGGCATCTTTGGGAGACCATTACTCTGCCTGTAAACATATATGTAAAAGTATAAATGGAATAGTATAATAAGCCCCGCACACCCACCTCCCACTTCTCCCCACTGGATCATTTGAAATAAACCTTAGAAATCATCTGATTCATTTGTAAATGTGTCAGAACAGACAATTGTTTAAAGAAGTTTAGCTATGAAGGGGAGGTGAGAAAGGGGGTGGGGACTGGGAGAGGTGGGAAGAAGACGTGTATGTGTATTTTTAACATGAGAGACAAGGAGCCATGTTAACTTCCGCCGGGCAGGATCTAATAGTGCGGGAGCAATTGACCTGCACGAGAGCGAGGTCTCCATCATTGGGAGAGGTAGGTGCATAGGTTTGAAGGTTTGAGAGTGTGAAATTAAGAGAGTTCCTCTCTGCTGGTTTAATGTTTTTCTTTTTCTTCTTTTTCCTGTTGAGTGGGAAGCCAGTGAGAGGGGCAAAGAGGTATATAGTTTTGAGGCGCTTGGGGAAATTTGGAAAAGGTCGCTGTGGAGTGGAGAATGAGTGCCTCAGAGAAAGGCTATTGGAAGGTGGGGACGTGGGCCGCTTGAATTTGGTGAGTTCGAGCGAGTGCAATCAGCCTGAGGTGCAACTTCTCCCCCCTAGCGCTGCACATCTGTCTGGGCATATGTTCAGAGAAGGTGAATAATTTGGTTCCCATTGGGTGGGTTTTTTGCCAGGTGGTGTGAGCAAAGTATACGGTCAGGGGTGTTTATAAGAGCCACTGACATCATGATCCATGGACTCTAAGCTGAATGAGAAAGGAGAGGAGTGACGGGTCCTGGCGGGTGTACGAGTGGCTGTGATGGGATGAGCCGACAGACAGAGTCCAGCCTGGCTGGGTTTTGGGGTGGTGACCAGGTCCGGGGTGCGTCTTTGGGAGTGGGTAGCTGGAGTGGAGTGAAATAAAAGACAGCTAGAAGAGAGGGCATGAGTTGCTGAGAGAGCAGGGTATGGGAAGGCACCGCCACGTGGATCCTGAAGCCACCCAGCACGATGGCAGGAGACAGGGTGTAAAGGTAGGTCGTCGGGGCATGGAGGGGTCAGGCGAGACGAGGAGAAGGGAAGGGGTTTGTATGGTGCTGGGAGGCACGGGCTGCACAGGGTGGATGTTTTGACAAGATGGGTGACGGTGCAGGGGTCTGGAAGCGATGCTGGGGATCAGAGGACGGTTGACCTCCCCTCCTGACCCTTCCAGACCTTGTGTGTGCGGGGGCTGTGAGAGGGGGTGAGCAGACCTGACCGGAGGGAGGGCCAGTTTTCGCTGAAGACACGGCTAGCTCACTTTCTTCTCCCCCGAGCTGTGCTGTGGGTGCTCCTGGCCTGCTACCTCCATGGTATTATCATATTATTATAATAATTATTATTATATTATTCCTCCCACCCAGGTATTATTCCTCTTAAGCACGGCCCCTGGGTCACTGAACTTAGCCTGAGTCACAGCCAGCCACCCCCCACCAGCTCCCTCTCCAGTGGGAAAATATTAAGATAGAAAAAAAGCACTCCATCCAAGAATTCCCGAATAACAGAAGTCATGGATTGAATCTTTAGATTTAATGAGATCTGTCTCCATGTGCTATACTTTTATATCTGACATTCCTCCTGGGCTCTAAGCCATATATTCTAATGTTGTTTCAAAAATGGCTGTGGGTATATTTAATACACATTATTTACATCGATTTATGATTGAGATGTAGCTTTATTGAAAACTTTTAGTGATTTTTGTCTATACCATAAAACCCTGCTTTCATATAAGTATTATTTTAAAAATTCAGCCTGTATATGGAGTCACATTATTGTGAAGGCAATGAAACCCTGCCTCCCCCGCCCGCCCCCATGAAAACATAGTGAAACTGTTGTGCACAAAGATGACCGCTAAACTCAAGGTCTCTGATGACGGGTAAAGGAATTTAGATTGGTGGAGCAGTATCATGGACCTAGAAAACAAGTGGAAACAAAGGATATTATGATAAGGGGATGGAATGTACTATTTCTGTTGAGGCTGTGTTTGCTTAGAATTGAGTTATTCTGCATTTCATGTTTGCTTGTTGACACGTGACCGTTTTAACTGGTTCTCAGCCCACCTTTTGGCCATTTCTTTCTGGGATGGGAGATTCTAGTTATATGAGCCCAGAATAAGTAGCAGCAGCAGATTTAGTTTTTACAAAACATAACAGTCTCTCTTTAAAATACCTGTCTCCCAAATCTCTGAGATTCTGTGAGCTGTGAGTCTTCCGTGATAGCCTGAGGACTTGAGAAGCTGTAGGATGATGTTAGAGTCACGGGTATACGTGGGGCCTGTGGTCCTACCCACCCCCTAACTACTCACCTGATTGGACTGAACTTTGGTCGCTTTTCCTAATCCCAGCAGACCCCTCCAGGCCTTGCGGGGGGGTGGGGCGCAGTGATAATCAGTGTGCTTTTGCCAATGACCCCTTGGCCCTTAGCGGGCCTCAGTAAATGGTTTTGTCGTAGGATTGCTCTGCATAGCCTTTGGTTAAGACCGTGGGCTCCCAAGTCTGACTCCTGGGTTCAAGTCCTAGCTCTGCCACTTACTGCCTGTGGTCTTTGGGCAGGTTCTTAACCATTCGAAGCCTTAAGTTCCTGTCTGTCAAATGGGGATTATGATAGTAAGTACTTACCTAATGGGATGTTGTGAGAATAAATAGTGCAGTTCCTGGCATATATAGTGGGAGTACCCAGGAACTTATTATCATCGTGTTGGAGTGTTGAACTTGAGTACACATGGCTCACCAATTTGATGCATTTGGGAACTGTTAGGTTTTAAATTGTATTTCTCCATTATTTACAATATTCCTTGGACATTTCACTTTCTCAGTAAGGCCCCCCCGACCACCCTATTTAAGCGGCAATGATCTACCCTCCACTCCTTCCCCCTCCGTGCCTCCCCTTCACCTCCTGCTCCCTGGAGTCCCCACCCTCATTTCCTGCCTTGTTTTTCTTCACTGCACTTGTCACCTTCTGATGTACTGTCCAGTGTACTTGCTTTTTCTTTCAGCCTGTCTTTGTCCCCTGTTCTGTTGTCGGAGCCTAGAATAGTACCTGGCACGTAGTGGGTGCACGGTAGATAAATCTCTATCAGGATGATACTGTTGACTTTGAAAGTGGTGGTACGATTCTATACACCAGTAGTATAAAAGCTACTGCAGCTGCCTGAGCTTAGAACGTTTCATTCGGAAGTTCTGACTGATGATTTGCTGATTTGCCTGTCCCAAACCTCCTTTCCTAATAGAGGAGAATTGAAGCCGGGTAGAACAGGTTTGAGGGGATGATGAAGTTGGATGAGGAGAGGAGTAGGCTGATGTCATTACCTCTTCGACGGTTTACTTCTGACACCTGTTCTTTCAGCGTGACCGTCACCAAACTCCAGGCCACCCGAGGAGATGCTGGTCTTGATAGTGGACTCTCTCAGGTATCATTTTGCTTTCTTGTCTATTTTACACACAACAGAACTTTGGTTATTTTTCTCTTTTAGGGCACCAATGCCTCTGCTCTGGAAAAAGACATTGGTCCAGAGCAGTTTCCAATCAATGAACACTACTTCGGATTGGTCAATGTAAGTATTTTAAAATGTACTATCTTAATCAAATGTTTTAGAGTTCTTGAAGCAACTCCATTCCCATTTTCGTTATTATCAAGCTTTAAATAATCGTTCATACTCCTTGGTTACCATAAGTGGCAAATATTGGGGTGGGGGAAATTTAGTCCAGTTTTTGAAAGTATGAGCTGCCCCAGAAGAAAGTGTTTGATTAGTGCATTATCGGGTCAGATTCTCATTTTTTTCCCCTGTGCTTTAAAAGATTTCTGCTGCACCCATAACTTTCACAGTGATATTATTAGCCTTTGTAGCAGTATCTGCTTTTGTATGTTCTCCCTTCACCATCTGGGTGGGCTCCTTGGTAGCTTTCTTTCAGTATGCGTCAGTTCAACCGGAGCATCGAAAGAGTTTCCAGCTCATCACCAGTAGCGATTTAACAGCACAACTTGGTATTTGAAGCATGGGTGGGGAGTCAGGGGAAAACTGGGGCCAGTTTACCTCAAAATCCCTTGGCCTCATTTTGCTTGTGCTCAGCAATGGTCCCCTTGTAGATGGCCATACTTGCCGGGGCCTGTGTCCTAGACAAGTTGATTATGACCAAGTAGTAAGGCCGTATTGCCCACCACCCCCGTGAGCTTTCTTCCCCACCTGATCCTTTCTCTCTGGGGTGGAGGATTTAAGTGACATCCGGTGTTAACTCATAAGCACCTGGTTTTCTGGAACAACTGCTCTGAGTGTGGTCTGTCAGTTCAGGTGTGATAGGTGGTAATTTCCGCTGGGACCATTCTCTGAGTGAATGCCGCCTGTGGGATAATGGAGTGGACATTGGCTTTGCGGTAGTACAGACCTAAGTCTGAATTCTGCCTATGCCGTTCACTAGCTGTGCGATCTTGGGCAAGTCACTTGGCCTCTCTGTGTCTCCATTTCCCCCTCTGTGAAATGGAGACCATAATGGTTTCTACCTCTTGGCCTATAATGAAGGATCCATGAGAGCTCCTATTGAAGGTACTGACATGAGACTGAGGCACATTTGTGGACACTCGGTCAATGTTAGTTCCTTTTCTTTCCCAGACGTTGTCCACTGGCCCAGGGCCAAGTGTTACTAAAGGGTGTCTGGCTGAAGGTGAGGTACTGAGTAACAGAGAAAAGAATGGTAGGAGGAGGCTACAGTACTGGAATATAGGACATTGTGTTGATGAAATACTGACTCCTAATTTTAATGCAGTTTTTTTAGGCATAGTGCAAAGGCCTCTTGCTTAAGCTCTGTGAGGATAGTTATTCAAGTTGCTGGAATTCTACCTTGTGCAGGGAAAAGACAAGTGCAGACTATGGAGGAAAAAAGAACTAAGGCCATCTCCTAGTCTGTGGAAGCATTGTGAGACCTAAACTTATTAATAGTTTCATTTACGTTTATTTCGAATGGTAATTCATGAAAGTTACAGCTTCTCTTTAAAAAGAGGTTTGTCTCATTGCGTAATTGTGTCAAAGTAGATTAAAATATGTAAAAATAGGAAGTGTTCTATCTTAACATACGTAGAAATGTCACGTTAAGGATGGTGGTGCATCTGCCTTGCTCTTGGGCAGACAACACACAAGCCAACAACCAATCTTGAAATGCTCATGTTCTATTTTAATCTTACACAGCAGTTCGTAATCTGTTATTAATCTTCTGATTTCCTTAGTTTGTTTTCCTTTTCATTTTAACGTGCATGAAAAGTTCTAAGGTGAATGTCTCAGCTATGTGTTCACCCGCAGAGTTGGTTATTATATAGTCAGTTGAAAACCAGGGAGATGATGGCTTACTTTTTCCCTCGTTAACCGTAATCTTGAGTATCCGTGGCTTTTGAGAGGTCATAGTATTACTCTGTGGGCCCTAATCAGATTGCAGGAGACCAGGAACTGGGTGGTACTATTGTATTGAGACAATTGCTACTTTGGCGGAAATAAGATTGCTTTGGAGAAAGTGAGGAAATGTGGTCTGAAGCCAATGGCAGGCGTGCTGGAATCTTGAAAGAGAGAAACTAAAACAAGTCCCCATTCGGTGAAGACTGTTTCAGCTGAGCAAGTGGTTCCTAGTTCCTGGATTTCTTTCTGATTGAGATTTTTATTTTCCCTGTCATAGGAGTTTTGATGTGTTGCCTTGTGACATCTTTTGTGTAGCCAGCTGCTTTTCTGCGTCTCCACATCATGTCGATTTTTTTCTTCTTCAGTGTCTCTCTCCTTTTTAAGCACCAGAAAGTTTCACTAGATTTTTTAAAATCAAGGCCGAGTGCTTCTTATCATTTTAGAGACTTTTAATGGGCTAGAGAGCTACCAGGCTTGCATATACTAGCATTCATTTCCCTGGTGATGTTCAGAGTGCCATACTGGGCTTCTACCACCGTGAGCAGGGCTATGATACGCAGAATCTGGGCTGGTTCACACGGAGGGTGGCCCTCTCCCTCTCCCCACCTGGTTCGGAGGTGGTGCAGCCCCGGACCCTGATTTGAACCATCCCTGTTGTCCTTTGGCAGTTCGGAAACACATGCTACTGTAACTCCGTGCTTCAGGCCTTGTACTTCTGCCGGCCCTTCCGGGAGAATGTGCTGGCCTACAAGGCCCAGCAAAAAAAGAAGGAAAACTTGTTGACGTGCCTGGCAGACCTTTTCCACAGCATCGCCACGCAGAAGAAGAAGGTTGGCGTGATCCCACCAAAGAAGTTCATTTCGAGGCTGAGAAAAGAAAATGGTGAGTAGCGTGGAGACGAATGGGTGTCAGGCTCTGAAATAAGGAGAATTGACAGTTCTGTATATCCTCAAAACGAAACCTTTTTCTTTTTTTTTTTTAAATGGGAAAATAATATGGCCAACTACTCAACTATCATTTGAAAAGGTATTTCTCCTTTTCCACCCAGTATGTAAAACAAAACTGAATTAAAAATATACTTAAAAATTCAAATTTATCATTCCATTTTGGAATGACCTTTTCTTTTTGCTCCACATTGGAAGGAGTTTTTTCTGGGTAGGATCATTGTAAGAGGAGAAATTGCCCAAGGCAGGACAACTGATTGGAATACATAGGTTGATGCAATAATTGAATAAAATAGTACTATCTTATAAACTTGTCATAAGTGATTAAACTAAATGCAGATTGTCTAATCAGAGCCTCTGCTGTTTTAAAAATAATACCTTTGATTTTTATTTGCCTAAGTTGAAGGATATCAAAATGTCCTGCTGCCATCTGATTTTCTTCCTTTTTTTTCTATATTCTTTTTGTGTGTGTGTGAGAAGCGGTGGTAGAGATGAGGTTATTCCAGAAGCTCTGCATGGGTAATTTTTATGACTATAGAAATATTTGATATGGCGACTTGTGTTTAGCCTGGATTTCAGCCTTACTGCAACAGACTTGCACAGTTAATCAGATGTTTGTTTTATAAAGTCTCATTTAATTTGATTGCCGTCTTTTGAAGTTGTTGTAGTTTATCCACACCAGAATAGAAATAATCTGAGAAGGAAGCAGAGCCCTCCCAAGTCTCCTTGTGCACATGATTAATAAGGAAGTTTCACAGCTGCATTCATCTCTTGACTGTTTGTCCTTATGGCAGGGAACAGGCTGCTGGAATCATTTGTATTTGGTTTCAGAACACTATCAGATAGATACATTCTCATATATATCCCTCATCTCCCTTATGTGTTTCATTTAAGCTGCTTCCAGGTTGGTCCAGGGTTTTAACACGATCTTTGGGAAGAGACCCTGTTGCTCTGCATAAATTACGAAGCGAATAATTGATCATTGGTGGTCTCACATCATATTAAATACTGATACTTTATCAGGGAGTTTTTCAAGTAATTCCTGTTCTTTTTCTTTTTTGTAGAACAAATAAAAATGTTGGTAGCTTTTTATATATATGATGACTTCAGGAAGATATGGGAAATTTAGTTCTTGGTGGGTGGTAAAAAGTGGAAGTGAACAAAAATTTTTTAAAAACTTACCCATTGAAGTTGCAAAATAGAGGTGAACGTATTCCATATGTGTCCACTCTTTCAATATAAAAATGGAAGTGTGGGTTTGTAAAATTAGCATTTTCTTTGCTCTTCAATAGCCAGAGATTGAAATACCGACCCTCTCCTTTCCAGATCTCTTTGATAACTACATGCAGCAGGATGCTCACGAATTTTTAAATTATTTGCTAAACACTATTGCGGACATCCTGCAGGAAGAGAAGAAACAGGAGAAGCAAAATGGAAAATTAAAAAATGGCAACATGAACGAACCTGCGGAGAATAATAAACCAGAACTCACCTGGGTCCATGAGATTTTTCAGGGAACGCTCACCAATGAAACTCGATGCTTGAACTGTGAAACTGTAAGCATCAGGAGGGCTTTCATGTAATTTGCTTGTGTATAGTTGTACTAACTGCGTTGTGCGTGAGTGTAGTGTGGTATCGTAGCACCTAGCAGTTGTCTTCAGTATGTGCAGACCGTTCCGTTTATGTGTATGAACCTCAGATGCAAACTTTTGGAAGCATGTCTCCATCTAAGACGTCTCCGCTGGCTGAAGTAGAGTGATGAGGGAAAATCTCAAAAACTAGATTGCTGTGCATCATGGACTAATTTTAGGGTCTGCCAGTTGGAAGTATTGAACTGGACCTCCACCGGTTATCTTGAAATGAGTTTGGCCACGGGGAGGTCCTGTGTGACTTAGAACAGACCACCTCCCCAACGTAAAGGGAATCAGCTGTGTATGGTGAACTTGAAATCAGAAGACAGGTTTCTTTTTTTTTTTTTTTTTTTTGGCTGCTTTGGGTCTTCGTTGCTGTGCGCGGGCTTTCTCTAGTTGCGGCGAGCGGGGACTACCCTTCCTTGTGTTGCGTGGGCTTCTCATTGTGGTGGCTTCTCTTGTTGCGGAGCAGCACTAGGCGTGGGCTCAGTAGTTGCAACACACAGGCCCTAGAGCGCACGGGCTTCAGTAGTTGTGGCATATGGGCTCAGTAGTTGTGGCGCACAGGCCCAGTAGTTGTGGCGCACAGGCTTAGTTGCTCCATGGCATGTGGCATCTTCCTGGACCAGGGCTCGAACCCGTGTCCCCTGCATTGGCAGGTGGATTCTTAACCACTGCGCCACCAGGGAAGCCCCCAGGCTAGGCTTCTGATTTTCTAGCAGTTAGCTGGGTGTATGGGACAAGTCCCTGACAGCACTGTTGCCAGGGCTGGGTTAGCTTATGTGTCTGGGTGAGTCTGGCACATGGTAGGTAGGCACTTAGTTGAATTTGAAGACATTTTCCAGGGCGTGATTCAGGATGTTGCCTTGGCTTTCTGTATTTGATTTAACTCTCTGAGTGGCCTCTGAATGTGGTAGTTAAAAGCCCAGCTTTAACTAAAAAAAAAAAAAAAAAGCTTTTTAAAGGCTTTAGGGCCAGGCTGCTGAGTTTGTATGCTGGCTCTGCCAGTCAGCCGCTGTGGGACCTTGTGCAAATTATTCACCCTCTCTGACCTCACCTCATCCGTAAATTGGGGATGATGAGAGTGCCTGTCTCGTAGGGTTGCTAGGAGGATTAAATGAGTTAGCTTTTGGAAAGCACTTAGAACCATGCTTGGCACATACCAACTGTGCAATAAAAGCCAACTCTTTACTATTTATGATGACTACTAATAACATAGAAAGTATGGGTTCATCTGAGGTCTCAGAGTTTCTTAGTAACGTCGTATGAAAAATTCTGTAGGATTGTGCATCTTTCTGGGGAGAGAGACAGTAGTTTCATCAGATTCTGCCAAGGGACTGGCACCCAGAAATGGTTAAGAAATGTGGATTTAAGTGGGAGGCTCTTTGTTTTTTGGCAGTCTTCTATCCTTCTAAACAATTTTTGAAGCATTTGGAGCATTTGAAGCATTCTGGTTTGTTCATTGTAGAAACAATTAGAAAACATAGCTAAGCAAAAAGAGACTAAAAGTTACCAGTAATCTCCCCACCCAGAGATGATACATTTGTAACACTTTCTAAAAATTGTGATCACGTTAGCCTGGAGATAACCATTTAAACATTTTGAAATATATCCTGCCAAAACATTTTCTACACATACTTATCTATCTCGAGATCTCTCCTCCTTCCCTTTCTCCTTCTGTTCCAGTAAAATTCAAATGCATACAGAAATAGAATAGTATAATACATCCCATATGTGTATTACTGAGGATCAATGATTGTTAACACACTGGCCCATCTCAGTCATCTTTCCTTTCACGCCCCCTCCCACTTCACAGAACTGGTCTATTTTTAAGCAAGTCCCAGGTAACATCATTCCATTTGTAATTTCTTCATTACTTTGTTATATATCTCCAAAAGGTAAGAAATCTTTTTTAAAAAAACATTGGTACAATGCCATTATCACACCTAAAAAGAATTCCTTTAAATCATTGTTCACTCAGTGTTTGTTTCTCTGATTATGTCACTTTTTCTTTAAAGCAGCTGGTTAATTCAAATCAGTATCCAAACGTGGTCCACACATTGCATTTGGTCAGTATGTGTCTTAATCTATGAGTTACCACCCCTCCTTTTTTTCCCTTGTAGTTTAGTTGTTGAAGAAATCAGGTTGTTTGAAAGAATTTCCCACATTCTGGAAACATCCTGTGGTGTTTAACTTGTATTGTGAAATGGCAGTACGTTTCTACCATCCTATTCTTTGTTTCTATTCAACCCACCTATTTTATATTCTTTTTTTTTTTTCCTCTTGCCTTTGTATCAATGAAACGTCTGTCTTCCTTCCTATTTTTTTTTTTTGTTGTTGTTGTTAGTTTTAAATTCTTTTAGAGGTTACTCTAGAGACTACAATACACATCCTTAACTTGGTTTGTTTTTTTTTCCACTTTCCCAGCAATGCTAGAACCTTTGGAACCCTTCATCTTCTTTTCCTTCTTTTGCATTATAGTTTTGTGATGAACTCCTGAGTTTTAACATTTTATGTGTTTTAATCCATTGCAGTTTTTTTATCCTTTTTGATACTAAATTTATTTTTAGAGTAAATTCATGTCCTTTTTAAACATCAAAATTAGGGCTATATTGTACGTAGTATAATCTGCAGACTTGCAGTCTTTTTGCTTTCTTCCCTTCTTTTAATAAGGGAGTATCCCTTGGTACCATGCTCACCTTACCTCTTGTATCTATTCTGTCACCAGGTCCTGTCTTGTTGTGTCTCTTTAATCCTCTTCATCCCTCCTGCTCCCACCCTGGCTCAGGCCACCCATCACCACTTCCTCCTGTTAATGTCTCATGCCCTTTACTTTTTTAGAGCAGCCAGAAGAACCTAGAAGGGTAGAGGAACCCATCAGCTCGTGACTGGCCGTCTCAACTAAGCTACAGCAGTAACTTCCTACTGGGTTTTCTTGCTTTTCTCTTGCCCTTTTCCATGTTACTCTCCTGCCCAAAGTAGAGTAGTGGCCTCCAGTTTCTTTATCTTCTTTGAGAGAGTATGTGTACGTTTTGATTTATCTGTTCTTTGAACGTTTGTTAGAACTCGAAACTTACCTGTGCGTCCCTCAAATAAATAGCCGTTTGGATTTTTTTTGCTCTTTAGATGAATGGAATCATGCAGTGTGTATTCTTTAGTGTCCTGGGTTTTTTTTCATTTTTTTCCTCACTATCCCATGTGAGATTTATTTGTGCTGTTGCATGAGGCTTAAGTTCATTCATTTTCATTGTCATTTAGTATTCCATTGCCTGAATATACCACAATTCATGAATCCATTTTTACTGTTGGTGGATATTTGGTTGTATCCAACTTGGGGCCACTATGAACAATGCTGCTGTGAACATTCTAATGCATATACAATCTAGTGTACATAAATCTAGTTCCTCTAGGATATATACACAGAAGTAGATTTGTTAGGTCATAAGATGGGCTTACCATTAAACTCATTAGAAAATATCAAATTCCCCCAAGTGGTTGTACCATTTTATACACCCAGTGCGTGAGCATTCTTATTCTCCACATTCTTGTCTATACCCACTATTCTCAGATGTCTCTTCACTTTGGTAGTATAGTGGCTGTTGTATAGACAAGTATTCTTTTATTCAATAAATACTTTTTTTTTCTTCCCACATCTGCTAAGTAAAGGTATAGACACTGAGGATGCAGTGAGAGCCTAGCCCTTCTGAAACTTTGAGCATGGAAGACAGACGTTAATAACACAGTGGATAATTCATTTTGTGGTTACAATTGCAAAGTTCCGTGAAGGAGTACAGAGTATTCTGTGAGCTTAGGTACAGGAACCAGAACAATGGGGCATCACATCTCTACATTTAGCCGGGAAACCTGCCCCAGACTGTACAGCTGGTCTAATTCTTTTGGTTATCTCTGAAATTAACAGTTACTACATCCGTCTTGTGATTCTCTGTGTAGATTTTCAGAAAGGCTCAGTCACATTTGTAGTTTCTTTTTTTGTCTGAGAACAGGTCAGTTGATCCCAACAAATGCAAATATTGCACCCGCAGATAATTGCATTGCAGAAGCTGTTACAGAGCCTGTTTTCTCATGGAGGGTTACCACGGATCGGAAGCCTGTGCCCAAAGATTCCTCCAAAACTTTTGGATCACACCATAGAGTTTGTTTTAGCGGGATTCCAACCATTTATACTTCGTTTGTGGAAGAGAATGAGAGTGTGTGGGTGTGTCTTTGTGGAGGATGGTGCACTCTGAAAAACCTACATTTATTATCCCCTGAAATGATTACATTTGAGGCAGGAGTGCTTTCCACCTTCCCCGCTCTGGAGTTACTTGGATAATCACCTCCATTTTCTTAGATCCTTTAACTGGACGGGATCCTACGAGTCACCTAATCCTTCCTCTCCCAGTGCCCGAGTCCCTTCTGTGACGTCCTAGCCAGTTGGTCACCAGCATCTGCTGGATCCTGTCCAGAGATAGGGAACTCAATCTTCCCAGGCGATGCCTTCCATTTTTAGAAAGCTCTAATTGTTAGAAAGCCCTCTACTTTCTAAGAAAATGCATAGTCTGCGGGCTTTTTAGTTGTTACTGTAGAATGTTGAGAACTTAGTGTAAAAGAAGACCTAAGTTAAAAGTTTTCCTTCACAGGATGAGAAATATGGGGCCCCGTTTAAGTAACGTCCTCTGCCCAGGGCAAGCAGCCTTTACAGAGCGCTTCCGGCAGAATTGCCAAGACCATTAGTGAACACTCACAGTGGGATTGAACTGCACTAGATCTGGAGCAGCAAATTAGCCCCTGGGGGAGCCTCGCTGTAGGGGCGGCCTCAGCTGGTAGTTCCTCCAATTGTGCAAAACCCTTTGTGCCAGTCTTCATGCTTTCAGACGATAATTCTTTTCTTTTTCTGGGTCTCACCCTTTGTAAATGTTGCCTGT